CTCTCCTCCTGGAAGGCTAGAACTCTTTCCTTTAGCGGTTGATTTATTGATCAAAGCCGTCTTAGGTAGCCTTCCAATTTATTTCTTCTCCCTCTTTAAAGCTCCTTCCTCTATGATCGAGTTTTTGGAGAAGGCTAGGCGTCGTTTCCTTTGGGGTGGAAACAATGGATAAAACAAAATTGTGTGGGTGGCTTGGAAAACGGTCCTAAGTTCAAAAGAAAAAGGGGGTCTCAGAGTGGGTTCTCTCCTATCACTCAACTTGTCCTTACTTACTAGGTTATGGATACTAAAATCCGATCCAAATGCTCTCTGGTGCCAAGTTGTGTGCGGAATCCATAATTGTTTGATGAAACCCATTTACTCTCTTGGCAAAAAAACGATGTTTGGTACTTGGTACAACATCGTTAAAGCATTTTATTATTTGCAGGATATTGGGGATGTTTTCTTCTTGTAATCTGACTCTACTTCATCTTGGCATCATTTTGAAGGTGTTGGATTTTGAGCTGCATTTGGTGGAGTTTGACTTTATCACTTTGAGCTACTTGTGAGGTGAGTTTTCATCACTATATCAACAGGGTATAAGACACCAATGTCGGCCCTTATCGGATTTGTATCCGAGTTTATTGCATGATACACATATTGATTTACATCCTGGTAGTTAGGATGGTGATATGCTTAGTGACCTGGTAGGTCGGTATCCTGGTTTATAGGATGTTTGCTATGTTAGAGATCTGTTAGATCAGTATCTTGGTTATAGGATGGTTTCTATGTTATTGATCGGTTAGATCGGTGACCTGGTTATAGGATAGTTGCCATATTAGTGATAGTTAGATCTGTATGACTATCTGTACTTGCATGCTAGCGTATGATATTTATGTGCACATGTTTGTTGGTTTGGGGGATTGGGTTGAGGCAGGTCCTGCTTTGTGCTTTAGGCCAAGATACCCAGGGCGGACCGGATAGACTGCAGACCCAGGACCACATATAGTCAGGCCGAAGGCCCGGCAAGAGGTCCGGATAGGCTGAAGGCCCTGAGAGGCGGTCCAGACGTGTCGAAGGCTCGAAGAGCGGTCTAGATAGACTGATGGCCTATGAGGCGATCCAGTCAGACTGATGGCTCATTATGCATGTTGTGTTTGTTTATATGATATGAGTATGATCGTATGGCATTGGTATTTTGGGGATAACTCACTAAGTCTTTGAGCTTACATTTATCGATTATTGTTTCAGGTACTTCTGATGATCGCGGGAAGGCGAAGGCGTGATCGTGCACCTCCTTATGTTTTTATGATTTGATTCTGGGAAACTCTGACATTGAACTATTTTGAAAACAAGTTTTGTAATAATCATTGGTTTTGAAATGTTTTAAAAAGTTTAAATTTGGCATGATTTTTATGGATGTTACATTGATTTTCGTATATTAATGATAAGAAATTTCTTTTAAAGAGTGACTAACTTTATTGCAAAAAGAATGGTTGAATTCGCTTAAAATAGATTTATCAGGTATTACATTTTATTGCAATGTTCCACATTTGAGCTCCCTCAATGTTTTAAGAGAGCAAGTTACTAGAAAAATGGCAATGTACTGTAGTTTTTTGCCAATAGTTTATGTACTATATGTTTTACCTATAATAGCAGTAAATAATTATTGTTTACTAATAATGGTTATATGTAATCTATGGGAGCTCTTTGTTTTGCAACTCCAATTGTAACATTCTTAGGATGCTTTTTACCAAGCCCTTTGTTATGCAACTCCATTATATGGGTTCGCGGGTATGACAAGAATATTAATATTTGGACTTTAGATCCAACTTTCTTGTCTTAATTAAGGATCCAACACAAAGACACAAGGAATGGTGGAAGAAAATCGCTCAAGCATAAAAAGGTTTATAGCATCTTACTTAATCTTTTCTTATAAAGGCAATGTATTATGAAAAATTCATCTAATTATAACATTGTATTTTCAACATTTTCCAATCAAAGCTAAGATGCCATCACTTAATGTAATGATAAGGATGTTTGCAACCATATACTTAACCAAAATAACATTCGTTGACCATGCTTCATAGCTTTCATGGGTCGTACTTAGCACATGCCTTTAACTTTTCTACTACACACACACACACACACACACACACACATATATATATATATATATATATATATATAGGGCTGAGTTACTGTGAGAACTAAAAAAACTTGTGAACTTGCGAACTCATAATCAACTCATCATTTTTCAAAACCAAAAACACCAATCTTCTCCAAATGGTGCGTCTAAGCCATATTTCTAGGCTTAAAAAAAGATTTGACAACTTTATTTATTTATTTTCGAAATTTGCATATATGCACAATCAGCAGTCGTATTGACTGCCGATGAGCACAATCAGCAGTCATATGGACTACGGATGTGCACAATCAGCAGCCATTTGGACTGCTCAAGCAGTCCATATGACTACAGATTGTGTTCATCAGCAGTCATACGAAAACACCAAAAAAAAATTGTCAAATCTCTTTTTTTTAGCCTAGAAGTGGCTTAGACGCACAATTTGGAGAAGATTGGTGTTTTTGGTGTTGAAAAATGATGAGTTCATTATGATTTCGCAAGTTCCCGCAAATCTTTTGGTTCTCAAAAGAACCTAGCTATATATATAGAAGTTGTAATGGTGAGGACTCAAAAATAAGTGAGGACTGCGTTGACAAACCATAGTCGTAGAATTGAAAAAATGAAAGGTGAAGATTTGATTTTATTTATCGTTAATATCTCGCGGATGATATGGCGTTTTAGTAATTATGAACGAGATATTGATAATTTCCGGCAAAGGTTAATTGTATGGAGGTTAAATAGGTAAAAGAAACGAGGAAAAGAAAAAGAAAAAAAGCCCCATCTAGCATCCACCCCCCCTCCTCTTTTCTCTCTCTGCCACATGTCAAGTCCTCATTTGGTGGGTTTTTTTTCCACCCACTTCGTTTTTTGGCCATAACTTTTTTTTTTTCAAAAATCATAAAAATTTGTAAAAAGAATTTTAAAAAATAAGTTTTTGAAGTTTTATTTTTAATTTTAAGAAATATTAGTTTTTTTTAAAAAAATATTGAACATAATATGATCCAAAATGTGATGATTCAAAAGTTGAATATCTATGATTCAAAAAAAACATTTAATTCAACTTGTTTATGATCTAAAAATATTTAGATTCAAATAATTTATAATGCTTAATTATATCTTTTATAATTCAAAATTAAATGTTTCATAATATATAATGATCCATAATTTGTTTTTGAACAAAAATTTATTTAATTGAATATATTATTGATCCAAAATCCTATGATTCAAAAATAATTTGATTAAAAATACTACGATTCAAAATAATTTGATTAAAAAGTTTATCATCCAAAAATAATATGATTCAATAAAAGTATGAACAGAAAAGACTATGAACCTTAGGTTGCGTTTAGTTACGGAAAAACAGTTTTCATTTTCCGTTTTTTGTTTTCCCTTCTCAATTTTTGTTTTTTGTTTTTATTTTTCATTGGAAAATTTAGAAAACGCGTTTAGTTAAAACTTATTCATTTTTCATTTTCCGTCTTACGAAATTAGAAAACGTGTTTAGATGTGTATTTTTCTATCGGTTTTCATTTTTAGAAAACGATAGTGGATGTAGGGTGGGCATGGGGGCGGTGGCGGTGGTGGGGGCAGCGGCGGGGGGCAGTGGTGGTGTCGATGATGGCGACGGTGGTGGTGGTGGCGGCGGTGGCAGCGGGGTGGCGGTGGTGGTGGTGATGACAGGTGGTGGTGGTGGCAACGACAATTGTGGCAGTGGTAGTGATGGCGGCGGTGGTGGTGGTGTTGCTGGTGATGGGGTAGTGGTGGTGGTGATGGTGATGGTTATGGTGATTGTAGTAGTGGTGTTGGGTGTGTGTGTGTGTGCATGTTTGTGTGTGTGTTTGTGGGTGTGGGGGTGGGTGTGGGTGTGAGTTTGTGGGTGTGTGTGTGTGTGTTTGTGTGTTTGTGGGGTGTGGGTAGGGGTGTGTATGTGACTGTGTGTGTGTATTTGTAGGGGTTGGTGTGTGTGTATGTGTGTGTGTGTTTGTGGGGATGGGTGTGTGGGGGTTGGTGTATGTGTATGTGGGTGTGTTTGTGTGTGTGTTTGTGGGGGTTGGTGTGTGTGTGTGTTTGTGGGGTTGGTGCATGTGTGCATGTATTTGTAGGGTTTGGTGTGTGTATGTGTGAAGGTGGGTGTGTATGTGTTTGTGCGTTTTTTGTAAAGGTGGTGGTGGGTGTGTGTTTGTGTGTATGTGTGTGAAGGTGGGTGTGTGTGTGTTTGTGCGTTTTTTGTAAGGGTGGGGGTGGGTGTGTGTTTGTGTGTGTGGAGGTGGGCTTGAGAGTGGGAGTGGGTAGGTTGAGGTGTTAAGGCGGTGGTAGGTAGACGTGGGTGGGGGTGGGAGTGGGTGTGCGTTTATATTTTAGAAAAATTTTGGAATTAGAAAAATGTGGAAAACAATGATTATCGGTTTTCCAAAAATTTCCAACTTCTTTGTAATTTTAGAAAACGGAAAATTTATTTCATTTTCCGTGAAATATTTAGAAAAATAGACGAACTAAACACGTTTTCAAAATTCCTATTTTTCTTGGAAATATTTTCCGGAAAATAGCCCATTTTTCCGCAACTAAACGCACCCTTAATATTCTTATTATTTAAAATTTTATAATTGTTAAACATTAAAAACTCAAGCCGATATTTAATTTAATAATTCAAAAAATCAAAAAATAAACACAAAACACTATTATCTAAAGATATTAAAAATAATAAAAAATATAAATAAAAACGAAAATAATAATAATAATAACAACTAGTAAGGAGCCCCTGCTCTGCATGGGTCGGAATGGTGGGTTGAGGTATTAGGATTGTTCAATCAGTTGTCTGGTTCACCTGTTGCAAGTTACTGAAGAAGAAACAATGAAATTGTGTAACTGATATAAGATTCAACACACAAAAGGGTGATTTAATGAAGTATCCAGCAGGAAAAAAATAACGATTGCTTAATTTAAAAGAAATTTAATGAAATTAGTCAATTATCTACAGATGAAACGAAATGCTACAAAACTAACTATTTCATCTCATCACAATTCTCAAGTTACAATAAAATGCAAATATTATGACAACTGTTGGTTCCTCACTTTCATACCATGAACCACCTACGATCAAAGTGATACCGACTTGAGGAACTCCACTGCTACCCTAATTAACAACAACAAAAAAGGAGTGAAATTGTAATATTAGTATAACTCATTAACACAATCATACATATGTAGATAGATAGAGATTTATTTACATTTTTTAGTAGTCCTATTCTTGCAAATGTAAGGACTTCCAAAAGTTAAGCCAAATATATAGCTAGACAATCCAAACCAAAGTATTCAATTACAACAGTGTAATCCAAATAGAAGCTGGAATGGAGAGATAAGCAATGACTACCATGCATAAGCCAAGACAGTCGTTTCTAATTTTTTTTTGGGCAACGGTTAAAGGTACCATTAAAGTGAAAACCAAATACCCCAAAAATTTACAAAAACAATCAACAGTTCCATTGTGGTGTTCTTACCTGTTGAGGTTTCTTTCATGAATATAACGTCCTACTTTCATACCCCTATCCAGGAAAAGAGAAAACAATGTAAACAGTTAGAGCATTGTATATTGGATTAACATCCTACTTTCGTTGGCAACAATTGGAATGGAATTCAACTTTATTCCTTTTCCATTTTCTGTTTGGTGTTAGAATCTGGTAAAAGCTTGGAACCATGTAAAAGTCACAATTCTACTTTAGTTAATTTAAATAATCATTAAATGCATCAAGAAATTGAGCATCTACTTTACCACATAGTAGATTAAATAACAAAAATAATAATAATGAAGAACTGTTACTGCACTACCTTGAAGTAAGAATTATCAAAATTTTGTTGCTTTACTGTCCAATATTATTTTTCCAGAGCTTGAGGACCTTATTTTTTTCATATATTCAACATTTAACTATTACGCTTAAATTCTACATTCAACGGTTTTTGCTGTCATATATCCAAAAATTAATCCCTTGAAATAAAAAAAAAAAAAATTACAAAACTGGAAGATGCTCTTACCTGATTAGAAATATTGTCATCTTCTCTTCTCGCCTCATCTTTCTTAATCTGGAAATATAGAGGTCGATCCCTTTTAGGGAAGACGCAAAATCGAGGAATTCAATAATCAATAGCAGTAAAAAACGGAATGAGAGAATTAGTTGGTTTAGCCTTTCTTTTAAGCATTTCGTCGAACACATGGAAGACAAACCTTGAAGAAGAAATTATGATAAAAAATATCACCTTGAAGTAGAAATTGTGTTCGATTTTGTGAAGCTCCCTGTTTTCCTTCTCTAAAATAGATCCCACACATAAAGTGTGGCAAACATCACAACTTAGCAGGAAGTCATACCAAGCATCTCGGGCAATGGGAAAGTGCAGCAAACATCACAATTTAGCAAGAAGGTGTGTACTGTTAAAAAAAAAAACATTAGCATTCAATAGGAGTTTGAAAAAGTTAGTTTTTTTCTTACTTTTGTGATGAGATCTCTGAAATTGTATAGTCACCAGCAGACCCACGTCGCTTGTCCTCTTTCAAGTAGTGATGATCCAAAAGGGGAATGAAATGGAAGTCGGAAAGAGGGCCATTAATTTCAGTCTCTCTCCCACTCTTGTTCCTCCAAAAAAATCTGCAGTTGCCATGATCAAACTCTTCTATTCAGGCGATAACACCGATCTAAAGTGGAAAAAATAAGAACAAAGCACTAATATTTAGGTCAAATGCAAATTCAACTTAGAATAATGAAAAAAAAGGAGAAAGGATTGTATACAAACCTGCAAGGCGCAAATCGACGGTGTTGTTTAGGTCGAAGCCTAAATCAACACTTCTATGTTGTCGGAACAACTCGAGCCCTAAATAGAAGGCTGCAGTTCGATGGAAGATGACTGCAGAGATTAAACTCCGGTCGCCGTCTTCGGTCGTCGTTGCTGCGTAGGCCAACGTGCCGGATTGGCCAACGGTGGCGATGGAAACAATGGTATAGTGAAGGACTTCATTCCAATGTAATAACATCGGTTTGTCCTTCGCCCTTTCTTTCACGTCGACAAATCAAAACCCGCCACAAGGAAGAAGCCGGAGGGAAGGATTGTGTATGCATATTGGAGCATCTGAGTTTTAGATGGAATGGAAAATAGAGAGATGAATGGAGTCGGTGGTGTAGAAGAAGCATATGACACGTATCTTGGAGGTAGAAGAAAAGAAGGCACGTATCTTTTGGTTATGGTCACTAGTTAGGCACGTATCTTTTGGTTATGGTCACTAATTATTTACTTAAAAAAAAAAAAAAAAAAAAAAAAAAAAGAAAAAAAAATACCGCGACATCACCCCACTTACATATTCAGTACATATTTACTAATCATTGTAAATAATTATCACTCCACATTATTATTTTTTTTACATCATATTAAATAAAAAACACAATAAAACATTAATAAAAATAAAAATAATATTTTTAAATTCAACATACATGCTTACTAATAAAATAAATATTAATAAACATAAAAGTGATATTTTTAAAATTCAACGTAAATTTTACTAATAACATAAAAATTAATAAAAAAACATTGAAAAAAAAACTACTCGTCTGTATCGTTGTCCTCATCGTCCCCGTCCTCATCCACTTCGTTTTCGTCTTCAAATTGTCATTGCCATATGTGGTCAGTCAAATCTTGACGTAAATTGTGATGTGTTTCACTATTATATATTTCCAAAAGCCTTGTAAAGTATGTTGGGCTACCGACTTGTATTACTGCAGATGGATTGAGCATATCATTTGGAGTATACGTACAAATAGTCCTACCCTCTTCTTCTAGTATCATGTTATGTAAAATAACACACGTTTTCATCACCTTCATCAATTTTTCCCTTTCCCATGCTCGTGCTGGATATTTGATTATGTGCCACTTCTGTTTGAGGACCCCAAACGCCCGCTCCACATCCTTCCTTGCAGATTCCTGTGCTAATTTGAACAATTTCCTTTTTTCATCAGCTGGATATGTGTATGACTTGACATATGTAGCGTACTTTGGATATATCCCATCAGCAAGGTAATATCCATGATTGTATTCAAGTCCATTAATAACGTATGGCATGTTTGGTGCTTTACCCTGCAAAATATCGTTAAAATATGTGATATGTATTATGTTTGTATATATAGGTGAAGTTTTAGTTTTGAAAAGAAATTTTTTTTTTAGTAAATGTTAACGGTCAAAATGGATGGAGTAAATGGGAGAAAACGGTAATAAAAAGCATCCAATCAAATTGCGCGTAACCACCCGTGAACCATGTCAATCCGCGTCACATTCACCAGGGAGGGGGGGGGGTGTTCACGCGTAAATACCCCCCCTCCACGTCACCCTTTACGCGTCAAACTACCCTCCATACCCGGTGGCCTAATCCATCACGTAACGTGCCAGCAAGGAAAAAAAACAAAACACAAAAATCAACCAATGGCATGGAAGAACTGTGTATTAGGGAACAACAAATTAATAGTATTATAAATAATAATAATTTATTAAAAAAACGAAAAAAATAAAAAAAAATAAAAAATAAAAAATGTGAAAACCGAGAACATAGCTATTTGATTTTTTTTTGTAACAACCCAAATTTCCGATAAAATTTTTCATTTTAAATAACAAACTCATTTTCGTAAAATATAAAACTCCAATCACATTTGTTTTCAAAATCCATAACATCAAATAAATCATTCATAATATCAGAGTGTCTCAAATAGAATGCCAGAGAGTGCATGTCGAGCCATCATGCCGGGCCCTTGCCCTTAGATCCTGAAGTACCTGAAACAACCAACAAACTGTAAGCTAATGCTTATTGAGTTCCCCATAACATACCCCACACAATCCACATAATCATATAAAACATATCACTCATACAAGCCATGCATCTAAACATATAGGGATGTCGTGGACTCCCTCCAGGTTCTTACTCCAGGATGCTATGGGATTCCCCTAGGGTCTTATACCTATGTGCCATGGGCTCCCCCCACGGTCTTTACCTGGAATGTCATGGGCTCCCCCACATGATCTGATATCCAAGTGTCACGGGCTCCCCCCCCCCCCCCCCCGGGGTCTTTCATGCAAGTATCACAGAGACAACTAGCAGACCACATAACACATAATCAACTAGTATACCACATATCATATAATTAACTAGTATACCACATATCACATAATGGTCCGACCTTGGTGCCTTCGACCAATTGGTATGGTGAGGAGACTCACCTCTCAAGAAATGTTGAACTGGTAAGATCAAATCCCAACTCACAGCTCCGAACTCAACTGCCTACAACCACCATGTGACTAACTTCATCAAAATCCCAAAATACCAAAGATACCCTTAAAGTCAAACTTGGTCAACCATGGTCAAAGTCAAAGTCAACAGTTAAGGTCAACAGTCCATGTTGACCCAACTCGTCGAGTGCACCTACTGACTAGTCGAGTTCCTTCAGTTCTCAGAGAACCGGGAAAAACCCTAGTCAACTCGCCAAGTTATCACAGCAACTCGTTGAGTTCGAACAGTGACCAGAAGATCGGGGAAACCCCGGGCCAAATCGCCGAGTTGGAAAGGCAACTCGTCGAGTTTGCCTAGCCCTAACATATTCAGCCACTTATTAAGCGAGTCTAATGCTCCAAACTATAGATCTGATCCCCTAGGGCTGAGATACCACGTAAAGTTGCTAACTTTACGTCCATGTATGGCATTAAGGGGCTAAAACACTCAATCATAGCTTATTAATGGGTTTAGGGCATGAAGGAGGGCCAAGAATTGATAACGATAGCAACTTTAAGTCAAAAGAGGCCATGAGATGTCCAGATCTGAAGTTATAGCTTCATGACATGCTCAAATCCACGAATGATCCCAAAATAAGCTAATAATGACCATAAACTCTCAAATGAAGAGATCTAGCAAATAAATGACCAAGGTATCAACTTTATACCTCAATATGGTTGCCACAACATAGTAGACACCGGATCTACAGCCTCCCCCTTCAGTTATGCACCAGCCACTTCAAGCTTCTTCAAATAAACACCAAAAAGGCACTCTTAAAGCTCTCACACACTCAAAATGATATAGAAAGCATGAACTAGGATTTCTCTGGACAAGGGGGCGATAAGGGAGGCTAACAATGAGGCTTAAGGCCTTTAAATATGGTGCAAACCCTAAAAATTAGGGTTTCATGTTCAGCATTCAACTCGTTGAGTTGGGGCCTTCCAACTCGTCGAGTAGACCCTAAAAGATGTACGTCTGGAAAGCTCTCTACACGACGAGCTGGAGCCTCCCAACTCGTCAAGTTCCATTCCAAAAACTTGAAAATTAATATATTTATTTCATACCTGACCAAGCGTTACAAATCTCCCCCACTTAAACTAGACTTTGTCCTTGAAGTCTGCTGTCACAAACAAATCTGGGTAATGCTCTCGCATATCATCCTACGGCTCCCATGTCCATTCTGAGCCCTTACGATGCTGCCATTGCACCTTCACTAGCTTCACCTCTTTTGTTACGAAGAACCTTAGTTTTCCTATCCAAAATTGCAACGGGCCTCTCAATGTAGTTCAGACTCTCATCCACCTGAATGTCGTCCAAAGAAATAACCGCAGCCTCGTCAGTGACACACTTCCGAAGCTGAGACACATGGAAGGTGTTGTGAATCTAGCTAAGCTCGTCCAGCAGGTCCAAACGGTAAGCCACCTTGCCCACTCGGGCAGATATCCTGAACGGACCAATAAATCGGGGCCTTAGCTTGCCCCTCTTCCGAAAACCTAATGACACCCTTCCATGGTGACACTTTCAGCAAATCGAAGTCTCCCACTTGAAACTCGAGATCTGAGCGAAGTCGGTCAACATAGCTCTTCTGACGGCTCTGAGTGACCCGCAGCCTGTCGCGCACTTGCTGGATCAACTCGGTAGTCTTAAGCACCACCTTGATGCTTCCCATGACTTGGTACCCAACCGCACCCCAAAAAACTGGGGTCCTACACCTCCGACCATACCACATCTCAAACGGGGGTCGGTCGATACAAGCATGATAACTATTGCTATATGAAAACTCTGCTAGTGGGAGGTATGTATCCCAACTCCCTCCGAAATCCAATACGCATGCCTGCAGCATATCCTCGAGCGTCTGGATCGTCCGCTCGCTCTGTCCATCTGTCTGGGGGTGGTAAGCGGTGCTGAAATATATCTGAGATCCCAACTCTTCGTGGAACTTCCTCCAAAACCTGGATGTAAAGCAGACATCCCGATCAGAGACTAACGACACTGGCACCCCGTGCCTGACCACCACTTCCCGCACA